TTAAACAGGAAATCGGTGTATCTACATTGGTCTACAATGCAAGGTCCTGATGAAAGTTATGTGATATTCCAAACAAACATTCCCCCCTCCCTCACTCCCACAAAAAAAAAAAAAGAAGAAGCTATTAAAAAGGAACAACACCCAAACAACCCCAAGTCATAAAATGATGGAGAAAAATCACCCAACCTCCACCCCCCTCCAACCCCTCCATAACTTCCTCTCCAACCCCGCCCTTCTTTAAAACCATCTCCACAATCCTCGAAACGACACTCCTTTTCACCCCGCCCCTCCTCGGCCTCCAAACACCAGCCACATCTTCCCCTGTATCAACCGCTGCCCCCACGGGCCTCGCCGTGTTCATCTCGTTCTCGCCTGCACCTGCACCGCCACCAGCTGCAAACCCAATCGTAGCTGCATTTTCTGAATTCTGGACGCCTGGATTTGTTATCCGGGAAGGCGGGTCAATGGTGCGGATGGAGAGGAGTTTTAGGGTGTTGTTGGCTGTGCTTTCATCCTGCGTGGTGGCAGTATCACGCCCGATGGAGACGGCAAGCACAGCTTCTGCAACGGCGATTTCTTCCCGGCTGGGATCGAAGATTATGTTGTCGCCTACGGAGATTACGAGGAGGGTTACGGGAGGACGGAAGGGGTGGAGTATGGACGGTGTTGTTGTTGTTTTCGTAGCTGATGTTGCCGAACTTGGTATTTTTTGTTGCTGTTCCTGTGTGCGTGATGGGCGTCGTGGGTATAGATACTCCGCAGCAGCCCAGTCGTCGTCAAACATGGGATCCTCTTCGTCCTTGGAAATGAGGCGAGGTAATTTCGTGGAGAGGAGAGCAAGATGCGTTGTTAGCGAGAGGAGCGGGAGGGGGTACGAGAGCGGTGGGGAAACAAGGAGGATCTGTGTAGATGTCAGTATATGCTGTACGGATCAAGCACATGACAAAGGAAAGGAAAGGAAAGGAGAAATAAACCCAAGTCTCACATCAATATAGATTCTCCAATGCCACCCTCCATTGATAACCAATCTCCCCTTCAACTCATCCCTCTCCCCAGACCCAGAAACCATCAACGCCTCCCTCATCATCTCCGCCAAAAACACAGGCAACGAATCATCGTCTCTCAACCCCGGTATCTCAATCGACATCTCCACCCACGAGCTCTCCCCACCCCTCCCCTTTCCCCTCCCGCCCTCCTGCCCGCCGTCCTCTCCTCCTCCCTCCCCATTTCCCTCCCCCTCAATCCCCCCCTCCCGATCCAAAACCCCACCAGCAACCGTCCTCTCCACCTCCGCCTTAACCCCGACAATCGCCTGCGTCCCATCCGCAAATCCAATGCGCGCACTCCCGTTGGCGCCTGGGAGAATATCCGTCTCCGCCGTTAGTGGGCGAAACTGCGTTGCGGCGCGCCCATCTGTGCGGATTGGGTTGTGCGGGTAGGAAAGGGAGGTGTGTAGGTAGGAGAGCTCGGCCGGGGAGAGGAAGGGGATCTGCGCGGTGGAGGAGTAGGTGGCGGTGGTTGCCATTGTGTGTGAGTGTGTGTGTGGATGTCAGTCAAGCGGGACGGCGCTGGCGCTTCGCGCCGCGAGGCGGGTGGACCGGTTAATTTTTCGTTCTTCTCGTGCGTTGCGTTGCTTTGTTGTTTGCAGATAGATGGGGGTGCGGCGGCACAGTTGTCCAGAGCCCTGGGAGGGAGATAGATAATTTCCTTTTTTCCAATGAAAAAAATCGAAATCGCGATCTGTTTTTCACTCCCTTGAGTCAATGAGCCTCCACTTCACCCGAAACGACTCTGCTGTTGCTATCAAAACTAGTTACTAACTAGCATTTCATAAAAGTTGAATATTTAAAGCGGACAATTGAGTTTTGATCCAAAACCATGGAAGCTCTGGTTTGTTATACCGGAAGAGCCATTGTTCCGATATGCGCAACTGCGGGCTTCGATGGCCAAACCACACTAAACTCGTTGCTTCGCGCAGGAGCCCATCCAATAAATCCGAATAAATTGTAAACCCTATTGGATTAATTATTAATTCTTTTGTAACTTTGTACTAGACTTGTCTTTTATCTCAAAATTCTATAACTAGGCGTTTTTCGTACAGTTCATCCAAAAAAAAAAACAGCCCACCCGTCAATGAAACAAACAAAAAGACGAACAAGGGAATTAAAACAAATAAGTTAGTATTATTAAGTTACGGAACTCTCAAAACTATATTTCTAACCCGCTTACTCTGATATTAAACCTCTAAAAGGCTACAAACTCCAATTCCATGTTCTTGCTTTTTTAACTGGACCATGTGAGGCCGACGATGGGATATCTGTGAAGGAGAATAGAGAAACAACCAAGAGGACCTTGGAACGTTAGGATGGGGTCTGGTATGTTGATTATACGAGCGGCAGCTAAGAACAACTGACTATGGGATCGATTACGAAAAGAAAAGACTTTGATTGAGGCTTAGATAGGTAGAGGTGGTTAGGATTAAGTGAGGATCTAGTGACACATAGCATCTATATAATGTGAGAAAAGTGGTGGTGACGCTAGTAAGAAAACCACAAATGGCTGTAAATTGTACAGGGGAAGTGAAAGAGGTAACAGGAACATTTAGGAAGAAGAAGAAAGTAAAAAGTAAAAGGTAAATAATATAACAAAGGAGATTTAGGAGAGAGAGAATGTGCTGGTGCCAGAACTGGGCTTGGGGATTACCCACAGGAGAGGTTGTCAGGAGGGGGTACTTCGGGAACGACGAGATGATTTAAAAAGGTTTTGTCAAAACACAAGTTTAATAAAAGAGAAAAGGGATAAGGAGGGAGAAGAAAACAAGTGAGTACATAGGAGACATCGCGACTTGCGCGGTCGAGTGGATGATATATGTGTATAAATAAACGCGTATTTAGGAGGGAAAAAAAAAAAAAAAATGAAACGTAGGAAAGAGAAAAGGCAAATAGAAACGATTTCAATCAAGCCAGCCAGTCACGGGACTTGGCTAAAATGAACGGAGATCGAAAGTCGAAGAAAATGCAGATTATATGCGGATGTGGGTATTAAAAAGTTACTAGGGTGAGCAAAACAACAACAGAATAAAAAATAATAAACGCAAAACAAAACAAAGATGAAATAGCAAGGCCAGGGTAAAAGTCTAATAAAAATATGGCCCGGGGGTATGAAGTGAGAAAGAGTAAAGCAAATGATAATAAAGCTGGAAATAAGGGGGGAAATAACACAAATATTAGATCCCAGCAGGCCGTTGAGCAGGGGGGGAAAATGTAAGTGAAAATCAGTTGAGACCCAGTAAGAAAGGAAAGATGAGTGAAACCCCATAATCCGCCAAAGCGATATCAAGTTGCAATAAGAGCAAACAAAAGAGGGAAATGCTGCTGGTAATGATGGTAAAAGTGGTGGCTGGCGCTGGGTGTTTGGATGAAATCAAAAGAAAATAAAACCTTTAGCCTGACGCCAACCAGAATCAGTGTACAAGTTGTAGCAATGGAGAGGCGAGAAAAGTATTGAAAGAAATTTTAGCCCGCGAAGGAGAAATGATGAAGGAAGCGAACCGAAGGTGGGATGTTATTGAGATTTTCGAGAAGCCCAGAACGTCGCTGCAATAGCAAAAAGTAAAGAATTATTAGGCCATTTATCATCCAAATGAGAGAAAGGAAAATGAGACATGCGTCGTAGAGAAAACTCTACCGGAAGGTAGATCCCACGGCGGCAAAGATACTTTCTGCGGCAGATTCAGCCCATTGGCTTTCATCGTACGGAGGAGTGGGCCATTGGCGGGTGGAATCGTGTTTATCAGCGATGTTATCTGGCTTATTCATTCTCAGTGGCTTCGATGGGGTCAGTGTTTCCGGTCCAAAAAATGCTCCATCACACTTGGAAGACGGCGAAGGTGTCGGGTACGGATTCAATATAGGGCTAGTAGGATTGATTGCACGGATTGACTGATAATTTCCCTTCTTGAATATCTCATCGCGGGTCATATCGTCCATGGTTACTGATCGCTGACCAAGGTGTCGTGCAGCCTTGGTGGTGGAATGGAGAACCTCGTGAAGTAGTTCGTCTTCCTCCTCGGGCGTCTCATATCGATTAACCGGATGGGTAGAGAGTTGAAGCGCTCGTCGTGTCCGGCTGGAAATCGGACCTGAAGTTGGGTTAGACGCATAATTCTCGGTAGTACGTACAGATGGTCCTTGTGGTATCAACTGTCGATTTGATGGGGCATTGGTAGTGGTCGGTGAAGCAAGGTGGGTGGGCAGGCTGGGTGATGTGATATCCAGGCTATATCGCACATTTTGTAGGGCCTTATCCAACTCCGCAAAATCAGCACCGGGCTTTTGGTCCGCAAGATTCACCGAATCAAGTGCCATGGAGGAACGATTCGACCAGGGAACGCATCCTGCGTTGGCCTCGACGTCATCACAGTTGTTGCTATTGTTGTTGTTCGACGTTCCTTGGCTCCGACCAGAAAGTCTGCGCGCACGTTTTCGAAGATGAGAAAAGAAACTTTCTTTCGTGGCACTGGCAGGAGTTGCTAACCCCCCGCCGCCATTAAGTGCTCGCTCCGCTTCTTGGCGGTGGACATCCGAATAGTGATTACCGTTCGAGTTCACAGACAGCTGTCGACCAATCTTCTTATTTGACTTTTGACCGTTCTCGGAATGATTTGCGGTCGCTCCATCGTTGGCGTGGGATAAACTGGAGTTAGCCTGTGCGGTAACAGCATTAGATAAAGGGGAGACTGGACGAATGGATGGGAGAATTGGCATAGGTGCGCCATTCGTCCACGTAGCACGTTTGGTTGCAACCGGTTTGGGCTTAGTGGTCTGCAGGTCCGGGGAAGCATTGTGGGAAACTGCTGGGAGTCGACGGCTTTCGTCCTCCTCAAGCACAGGTGCAGGGCTGTCCCGTCCAATCAGTGATCTTCGGAACCAGGAGGCCTTCGCTGAGAGAGCAGGGGAATCGTTAGCATCCCGTCCTGCTGACTTGAAGCTCTTGTCTGATTGTTTCCGGCCAAGCAGGCGGGAAGATTTCGGTCGAAGTGGATCAATTGCGTCAACGAAGTAATCGTGGTTCAAAGCCTGGGAGGATGTTGGTCGGCTCTTGGGATCCCACATTAGGCACCAAGTCACAAAATTGCTAAAGGCAACTGGCCAGTGTGGAGGTTGGAGAATGCTCTCCATTGAGTGGGGGGCCATCTATATGCGCAATTAGTAAATATGCAACCCCCAAATATTCATACAATCCATTGTTTGTTCCAGCAGATATGGTTTTATGCATTACCTTGGGGAATGAAAAACCCAATTTTTGAGCTAATCTGGCACCCTCTCTCCACTCTCCCCCACCAACTTTATTCCCTGACTTACTGTACCAGTTACCAGGACTTCCCATAATTTCGCAAATGCGCCATACTTGATCCACTTCGTTCCGACCGGGGAACAGAGGTTTCAAGGTAGCGATTTCCACCGCCATGGCTCCAACAGCCCACATATCCACTGGGGCAGAGTATTCGCCTGCCCGCAATAGAACTTCTGGTGCACGATACCACCGAGTCGAAACATAGGTTGTGTATGGTACTGTCGAATGAGTTTCTCGGGCAAGCCCAAAATCCGCGATCTTCACACTGAAAGTCGATGGAGTGGCCGGGGGTGTGAATCGACTAAATGCGGATGAATCGCCAGAAGAAGTACTTGAAACCAATATGTTCTCGGGCTTGATATCTCGATGGAAGAAGTTGTGTGCGTGGATATGATCCAATCCGGATAGAATCTGGAATAATATGCTCTTCACAGTCTTCGAATCGAGGCATTTCTGTTCCCGAGCCTTCATCAACTGGTAAAGGTTCCCATCCATATACTCCATGCATATGTGCAATTTCTTGCTCATTGGATCTAGGAATATGTCGAGAGCGGGGACGAGATGGGGATGATGCGGAAGGGTTCGGAGGAAGATTACTTCACGCAACTCTAGACATGACGAAAAGGATTCGAAGGTCTTCTTCATCGTCTTGATCGCAATCTGTGCGAATGATAAAACATAGACAGTCAGACAAATTTTCTTCCAACTTTCCCAGAGCGCGGATAGAACCATCAATCAAATCGTGAGAAGAAAAAAAAATAAAAAAGGGGAAAGGGGTCTCTTACCATTGTCCCCCTCTTCGCAACGTGAGAGCCCGCGGTCCGCGTTCTAGCGAGCACGACACTCCCAAAGCTTCCATCTCCAATCTCCTTCATCACCTCGAACTTTTCTTCGAGCGTGGCAGTCCCCATATTAGCGTTGCGGTACGATTGATCGTACGTAACAGTCATTGTGTATGTGTGCGTGTGCGGTTTTCTGCCTGCAGATGGATTGTATTGAGGATAGATAAAGAGACCGATAAGTTTCAACTCGGCGAACTCTATTACTCCGTAGGTAATTCAGATTAGTAAATGGAACCCATCAAGTAGTAAAGCTGGAGCAAAACATGCCCAGCCGCCCTTGTTGATAGTTCCATCTCGTAGTTGGGATGGGATGGGAGAGTGGAAGAATGGTCAGAACTATACCTTCAATCAAAGGGCACGCTTCCTCAAACCCTGATGCTAAGCACCCTCCCGTTCTCAAAGCTGTAGCAAATGCGACGTATGAGTGTAGGTGCGATGGATTGTCAAGATATTAATATAGATAAAAATAATTAATAATATAAAGGGTGCGATGTGAGCATTCTCGAAGACGATTGTATGTTCGGTATAAGACAAGATGCGGACTCCGACCCCCTTGGTCCTACTGGCAACGGCAACTTTTCTTTTTCTCCCCTCTCAGCGATGGAAAGAGTAAATGAGTGACTGCAAAGTTTGGTGGGAGAACGAGCAGGAGAGGCAAAGTGATACCATGTTCTTCCAACCAGAACGCAAGGGTAGATAGAGGGTGGGATGGCTGCAGGTGGAGGTATGCAGTAGGATGGGGTAGATGGACAGAAGGAGGGAATCAAGAACGCCTAAGAAGATAAAGACGAGGAACAAGGACGAGGAAAAAGAACACACACAGGAGAGAACGCACGAGGACAGAAAGGGAAAGATGAGGAGAGAGAAGAGGAGAGTGAAGTGTCGAGGTACGAAGTAGAGTGAGATGAAGTGAGATGGGATGGGGCGAAATGAGGGCGGTCGGTGGTGGACGGGAAAGGGAGGGAGACGCTTCTCACACTGACCAGACCAACGGGAGCGGATCCGCTGGATGGGGAGCCGCTAAATGAAAGGAGAGCTGGCTCCTCTAGTGGGTTTCCCTCAGAATCCTCTCTCTGGCTTCTCTGGCTTTTCTCGTTGTGGGGACGCGCGCACTATTGCTTTGTATGCTATCTGGCCTTGCTGGTGGATTGCTCTGTGAGACCCTCTTACGCCCTGGAAACGTGACAGCTCCAACAAGGAAGGGCTTCGTCCGGCGGTGG